GAATGCAAGTTTAGTTTCTTTAATCTATCTTGATATGGAAGGTTTCTAAGTCCCGGAATCATTTTCGTCATTCTTCGCTGCACCGACTAGCGCAAGATATAGTTGCAATAAGACCTCTGCACTCTCATTACTTACACTTCTAGATGTAAAACCTAATACTGAACTCTGTTTGCCATATTTCAAACATTTACGCACTGTTTTCCAGGCCGTAGGTCCGGGCATACAAGTACCCCTAAGTCTCTTTCACAAGTCGACTTCTCTAGGTTGATGTTGTTAAGGCTGTATACATTGACAGTATTTGGGTTTCCAATTTTAAGAACGCTGCACTTGCTGGTGTTGAATTTCATTTGCCATTTTTCTGACCACTCTTGTAGTGCATTTGCTTCCTGACCTGAATTAATCTGCCGCCCTATCTTGGTGTCATCCGCAAACTTGCTTCTGTCACTGCTGATCCCAGTATCTAGATCGTTTATGTAGATTATGAAAAAGAGTGGGCCCAGTACTGACCCCTGGGGAACCCCACTGGTTCCACAGCCCCACTTAAATTTAACACCATCTACGCTGACCCTCTGTTTTCTATCGGTGAGCCATGATTTTATCCAATTTAAAACTTTCCCGTCGATACCATGAGCCTTAACTTTTCTCAGAAGCCTCTGATACGGTAAACTGTCAAACGCTTTGCTAAAGTCTAAGTAAATAACATCGTAATTTTCGTCATTATCAACTACCTCGAAGACTTTCCTAAAAAACGTCAGCAGATTTGTTAGAAAAGATTTTCCCTTTATAAACCCATGTTGAGAGTCGTATATTAATTTGTTTTTCTCTAAATGAGATCGGGTACTATTTGCTCTAATTGATTCAAGAAATTTCCCCATTACTGACGTTAAACTAATCGGCCGGTAATTTGACGCTGATGGTCTGTCTCCCTTTTTTAATATGGGTACTACATTTGCCTGTTTCCAGAAGTCTGGCACAACTCCCGTGTCTAATGATTTTGCAAATAAATTTACGAGGGGTCCACTAATCTGTTCCTTACAGTCGTTCAAAACACGAGGAAAAATTTCATACAGCCCTGGGGATTTTGTCTTCTTTAATTTTTTTATCTTCTTTAGAACATCCTCTTTTCTGATAGTGATATCCTTTAGTTTCTCCTCTTCATATCCCCTAAATATCAGTTCCACCTATGGCGTTTCATCATAAAATTTTTCTGTGAAAACTGATAAGAAGTAGCTGTTTAATGCTCTGCTTATTTCCTCGCTATCATCAATCACTTCCCCTCTCTCTGACTTCTGTTTTTTTATTATTATTTATTTTTTTTTATTTATTTTTTATTGGGCACTCCTCTACATGCTTGTGTAAGGTGAAGCGCAGAAGCGTTTACAGCGCCCAACAGGGAAGCATGCTAAGTTTATGCTTGCCTTTACGTCTCATGAGTTAAGGGGGTAGAAGCCTGAAGAGTCAAGGGCGTAGAAGCCTGAAGAGTCAGTGGTTTATGTCATCAAGTTGTTGGAAGCTCCAACAACTTTCCCTGAATACGAATTCGCAACTTTCGACTTACAACAGGTACCTACTTTACTGCTAGGTGAACAGGGACTATTGGGGGCTAGGAAGTAAGTCCAAACAACTTCCACCGGCCCGGGAATCGAACCCGTGACATCTCGCTTGCGAGGCAAGAACGGTACCGCTTCTACCACAGATCCCCCTCCTCTCTCTGACTTTAAAGGCCCATTTTTGTCCTTGACCTTTGTCCTATATACCTGGAAAAATCCCTTGGGATTCGCCTTGGATTCTCTTGCTAGTCCCTCTTTGCCTTCCTTACATTTTTCTTAACATTCCTAGATAGTTCATTATACCTATTTCTGAGCTGCTCCTCCCTTTCCTTTATTTCTTATAAATTCCTTTCTTTATTCCTATGTCATGTTTAAGTTTTTTGGTCATCCACCATGGCTCATTCTTATTTGACCTAATTTTTATGTATGGTATATTTTGTTCTTGTGCTTTACGTAGTATACGAGTGAATATATTATAGTCATGATCAATTGTTGTGTCACCTGTGACTTCACCTGTTCCTACTGGGGACTGACCTGACTGTTCCCAGGTGACCTCACCTAGGTACCTTCTTAACCCCTAATAATCCGCCAATCGAAAGTTTGGGACTCTGACCATATTGTCATTGTTTTTCGTTTCCTAATTTAGGGTGAACCTGATTTCTCTATAATGACTGTTCCCTAGTTCTTCCCCAATTGTGATATCTCTGATAATATTTTCTTTATTTGTTAATACTAGGTCTAATATATTGTCACCTCTAGTAGGTTCTATAATTAGTTGTTTCAAAAAATTGTCCTGTAATGCATCAAGGAAGTCTTCAGATTAATAGTCATCTACAATGTTGTCCCAGTCAATATTTCTGAAGTTGAAATCCCCCATAATGCATAGGTTGTTGTATTTTGCTGCCCTACTCATTTCCTGCCATATGGGCTGAGCTGCTTCTTTCCCAAGACTTGGGGGCCTGTAAATCACTTTCATAATTAGTTTTTCTCTTCCTTCTGCAATTTCTACCCATACAGACTCGGTTCCAATTTCACTCTTTATTGAATTATTAATACAACATTTTAATGTATCCCTGACGAAGAGTGCGAACCCTCCCCCTTCCTACCTTCCCTGTCCTTGTGAAAAAGGTTGTACTCTGATAAAAAGTTCTTGCTTGCCATATTCATCCAAGTTTCGGTGATTGCTATGACGTCTACATTCTCGGTACATGCAATCGCTCTCAGCAAGTCTATTTTATTTCTAACGCTCCTGCTGTTTGTATGGTATACATTCCTTGACTGTACACAGAAGCGTGCATCGGATAGCTCAACTTTTCTGCAATGTATTCGCCCAAAACTTGGGAAGATGGTGTTTCTTAGACTGTAACACTCGCTCAAAAACTATATTTATGGAAGGGTCCAATGAATTTCAAAATGAACACCACGACTCCTGTTGTTTCGGTAAGGTTGTCAAAACTTATCATCCACTGTATTATATTGCCTCACAGAAAATATTGAAGAGAATATATTTGAGTGACTGTTTACACCATATGCACTTGCCGAACTGTATGCCAACATAATCTATATCCAAAATGAATGCTGTATCTAAAAAACAAAACAAAGTTATGCTTGTCCGAAATTGTAAGGACTTTAAATGCGGTTTTGTCAGCTTTCAATTTTTGGCTCGAGTTACCCTTACGATGCGGGTGGCCTCATATATCACCACTATACACACATCATCATCATATACATGTTTTTGTATGTACAGTATGTCAGATATAGAAAACTTTTTGCTTAAATGTAAATAAAAATGGGTTAAAATAAATCGCTTATCCCTAGGGTTATATAGTTGAAAAAGTCTACCTCCCACGAAAGACAGGTTGGGGAAAACCTTTCTGGAGCAACAAGCTTCAGCTTGAGGCCCACCTCATCGACTACCAACACGTGTATGGAGAGGTCCTCCCCGAACACTTCATCAACCTACCTGATAACAAAAGGCGTATGATAAAAGTAAAACTGATGCTCGGCAGAAAGAAGGTGGCAAAAGTCAGGATCTCCGCCAGTGATTTCTTGTGAGGACATGAAGTTTCCTTCCCTACGCACTGCCACCACTTCGTCCAGTGTTAATTGATGTACGACGTTATTGAGGGCATCTCAATGACTGAGGACGACACTGTGATTGAGGACGTCTTAGTGACTGAGATCGTCTCAGTGAATGTGGACGATTCTGTGACTGAGGACGTCTCAGTGACTGAGATCGTCTCAGTGACTGAGGACGACTCGGTGACAGAGGAAATCCCCATGATTGAGGTATCCTCGGTGAATAAGGACCATTCAGTGGTTGAGGATTTCTTGATGATTGAGGAAGTCCTGGTGATTGAGAACAATTTGGGGATTGAGATGAGTGTAGGACTGGTCATCCTTCTTGGATATCTAACCATTAACGGAATTTTGATAAAATATCTTTATGAATTACAAGATCTTACCGATAATTTCAACGAGGATACTGAGGACTGCATATATGTTTTACCAATGTATTCTCTGATTTTGACATTACCTTTTAGGAACATCTATAAAATATGGCATGTGAATCATGTCATAAGTTAATAAAAGTCGGGAGAAGGTGTCAACACAATCGATTTAGCGCGACTAAGTACCGAGGCAGACAAGCGCCAACGCCGGAAAGATGCTGCAGCCGCCCTACCCGCACTAGATGTAGCCCTTCATGCGTGCAGCATCTGTCGGTCCCGTATTGGCCTCTCGAGTCACCTCAGAGTTCACCAAGTGCTGTATGGTCGTCATATACGATTCAAACTGGCAGCAAAGTAGGAGTAGCAATAAAAATCCCATATGGAATGAGAAATGGGTGAAAAATATGATAAAAACCAAAGTGAAGTAATTTGCTGCTAGATCTCGAAAATTTTACCCCAACCGTGAAAGATTAATAGACGTTTTTGAAAACGATACTTGTGGACTTTGGCGAAGTAACTCTTAGAGTTTCTAAGAAGAATGACGCTAAGCTTGTATATTTAATAGTGAAGCCTTTCACCTTCATCATAACTAGCTATTTCCTTTGATATAACAATTGGTTTTACTTTATTTATAATATAAATAATGTAATATAATATTTACATAATATTGTGATATCTTTAGAATTACACCATTTGTGAGAAATATTACCAAGCAACTTAAAAAGTAACACAGTGAATCTTGAAATTAATTATTTCCCCCAAATCACTAACACAGTTGGTGATTAAGGGGTAGTGGCAGCGATCTACCAGTGACTGATAATTAAGAGGATATAACCTCCCGAGTGGGTTTTGTGTGGTTAAATGCTAAGTGACTGGCAAGAACTATAAATATATACCATAAAATCCATCTTAGTAAAGACCTTAAGTTAAATTTTCGCATTAACTAGAGCTTACTCAAGGTATATAAAGAATCAAGACATACAGTGCTGCCAAAACTTACTTGTGATGGAATGTGAGAAATGGGGAAATATATGTGGAAGGTGACGTAGTTCTTCACATTCTCACTACCACATTTACGAAGGAAGATGATGCTGTCGATGGTCGATTGGAAGTCCTGTCCAGGAGCGTACACTGCTACACTTACGGGACCCTGTCAAAGAGTCCTGTGGCTAATACACTTGATGATAATTATATGTACATGATACCTGTCACGAATTCTGAACTTTAATGTTGGTGCAAATGAAAAATACATTAACAGATTACTGTAATGGTGATTATGATACCCTTATATACAATAACACCCAGGCAGTAGAGTCTTGCTAAAATGAAATTCCAAGTGTATATATATATATATATATATATATATATATATATATATATATATATATATATATATATATATATATATATATATATATATATATATATATATATATATATATATATATATATATATATACAGTATTACCCCGCTTTACACGGTTTCACTTTCCGCGATTTCTCATGATTTCTCATTTACACAGTACCTTGCCAGAACCAGACTTTCACTTTCCGCAGTGCATCTACTCGTATATGCGGTGAAGTATAATTTTTTTTTTATTTAGCTCATATAATTCATACAAATTACCCGGCCAGAATATAATTTACATTGCTGGAATTCTTACAATATGATGATCATTTTGAATATAAACAATCATGGATTTTGCATTAGACATACAAATTTTAGATCTTATGTAATAATTTGGTTTACACAAAGCAAATATTTTATCCTTTGTGCAGAATATATGAAGTTTTCATTCAAAATATTCCCTGACGTGCAAGGAATCCAGAAATGTCAATTATATTATCCTAACTTTAGTCTGAGTTATTATTTATTACTAAAAATGTAAATATACTATTTTCTCCCAATCCCTTCTCTGGTAGGGAGGGAGGGAGGGACCGACCCAGCTAGGGTGGAGTATTTTGATTGACAGATAGTGTCCTTGAAGAATATTTCTTTGTTTATTTACTGAAGATATATGTTTTAGCTCATAAAATTCATACAAATTATCCGGCCAGAATATAATTTACATTGCTGGAATTCTTACAATGATGATCATTTTGAATATAAACATCATGGATTTTGCATTAGACATACAAATTTTAGATCTTATGTAATAATTTGGTTTACACAAAGCAAATATTTTATCCTTTGTGCAGAATATATGAAGTTTACATTCAAAATATTCCCTGACCTGCAAGGAATCCAGAAATGTCAATTATATTATCCTAACTTTAGTCTGAGTTATTATTTATTACTAAAAATGTAAATATACTATTTTCTCCCAATCCCTTCTCTGTCCGAAATATAAACCCAAAAATGTGTAGGTACGCTAAAATATATAATACTAGTAACATATCTTTACTAATTAATGAATAAGACATAAACAATATATAGTACTGTACTATCATGCACACAAATCGTGTCCACTACCCAGCCACAGTGAGTGTTAGAATAGTTGTTACCAAGGTTGGCGCCACGCACACCAGGGGAAGGAGGTGATGTCGAACACTGAAACATGCCGACGTCTCATTCCTACCATCGTCGTCACCAACAGGTAAGTCACATTAATTTGTCAGCATAGCCCATGTCGTCCTTATACTATTGCAGGGTGTCCCATGAGTGACTGCAGATATTTGTAGAGGTGAAAGAATATATGATATTGAGTTGAAAATCTTCTATACACATAAGCATTTTTCGGTTTACTTTAGGCGTGAGGAGGGTTGTAAAAATTACGCAGGGCAAAAATTTTGCCATGTTATATTTTATTTTTCTTACCAATTGCAGCCATACTGTGTGCTATTGTAATCCTTATTGGTGGATTACATAAGACCTATTAATAGCGTGAAAACCCGTTTGAAGATACTATAATGTTCTATAACTTGCATTAAACAACATCATACGTTCACGAGTTCCAACTCCGCGCCTAGCCTTCCTCCCCCCTCCCCCGCCTCTACCCACCCAACTATTAAACCTCATAATTTGAGCATCGTGGGTTACCACACCTAAACACTAATCGACTACTTATTCTCTCCCCACACTCCCCCTCCACCATCCCCCCCACTCTACTCCTCCTTCCCCCACCTCTTCCCTTCATCCCTCTCCCAAGACTAACGTCAATCGAACATTCCATCCCATCACATTACCTTCCCCTGCATTCCCCAACCCCCCTCCCCCTATTCTACCCATGGCGACGAATTGGACTACTGTAATGAACACTCACAGAACCGGCGACATGGCTCCTCCCCCGTGTATTTAGAGGTAAAACCTTTACAACAAAGGTCAATCCCACGAAACTTGAGCCGGATTAAGATATGTGGAAAAAAAACAAGCAACACCCATGGCCACCCCCCTACCCCTACCTAAAATCATAGCTACCACGTCTCCATTTCCATCCGTTTCCCTCTATCTATAATGAAAAGTGTAACCCTACTCAGAAAAATAATGAATGGGCCCTCCAAACAAATTAAAGATGAGGTGCACCCCACCCAAATAGGGATGGGCCCTCCATTTCCTTTCGCCTTCTTTTCTCCACATCCTTTCCTCCCTCCCATCGCCCCAGTCACCCCAACCTACCACCCAATACCGTGCAGTGGGCAGAAGGCCACACACTTTCTCTCCTCCTAAAAGTCTGTTCCGTTTAACCCACATTCTTTCACTACTAAACCTTCTTCCCCCTTTCCTATATTTCGCTATCTCTATCTGTATCTCCCGCCGCGACTCCGCCATTTGTAATGGTTGCCTTGCGTAATTTGTAAAATCCACCTCACGGCTAAACGTAAACCGAAAAATCCATATATGTATAGAAGTTTTATACTCAGAATCACATATTCTTTCACCTCTACAAATATCTGCTGTAATTAGTGGGACACCCTATTATAATTATATGACGGTTGTTATTTGAGCTCCTTAGTTAACTTCACAATAAAAATGTGGTGCTTGATGTGCTATGCGTTTGGTGGTCATATTTGCCGCACGTTACCTTACTCGGTTATGTTACACCCCAAGTTGCAACCTGGAAGTTTGGGTTGGGTAATGTAGTGTTCTGAGCAGAAATGGAATTCAGAACGACTCAATGAACATGAAGAAAAACGTTTTTATATAACGATCCCTAACGTAATGTAACCTATTACAGCTATATGTAATCTGGGACGAACATGTCACAGCTGAAAATTTTCAAAGAAATATGTAAAGCAATGGAAAACCATATATTTTGATTATCTGCGAGGCTAACTACCTATAAACAATTAATATTTGACGATTGGCAAAAATCCTGGGAAAATGAACTAGCATATCATTAGCTAAAAATTATCAAATCATCAGTTTATCCTTGGTCATCATCAAAATAATCCTCTTGACATCACGAAACTATTCTAAATCGTCTAAGAATTGGGCATACGCGATTGACGCATGGCCAACTCATGTCTTCCCCTAATGGAGCCCCATCTATATGCTGCAACTGCCGAACACAAATAACAGTCCAACATATTCTCATTGAATGCCCTATTTATAACCGGTATCGAACAATGTGCTTCACTAACCCTACAATGTAAGATATTTTAGCAGAGACCCCAAAATTTTCCTTAAGTTCAGTTTTGACCTTTTTGAAATACTGTAATCTCCTCCAAACAATATAACACTAAATTATAGAAACACAAATATATGTAAACTAATCCCTCTGGCCAGCCCTAGGAGACACTCAAATGGGTGTCAGTGGTCTGGTTAAACTAAATCTTGATGATGATGATGATTATCGGCGAATGTTCACTCTACAGTCGCAGGGGTGGTGGTGGAGGCTTGGGGGAGGATCCACTTACAATTCACTATGAATACATGAAGTAGGAAGGGTTTCTTGGGCAGTTGATCCAAAAAGATTTACCTAAACGTTATGTCAGAGTAATAATACTTAACCTAGGTGTTACTAATACCATTAATTTACTCTAGTATATAAAAGACTGCATCAGTTACCACAACATAATATTACTCTGCCATTTCAGATATGCCTGCAGGACGAGCAAATTCGTCGGCAGTGATTGCTGAGAGAGGCCAAATCATCGGGATGTGGAGAGCCGGGGCAACTGTGCCGAGCATTCCTCTCGAAGAGGGGAGGAGCACCAAGACGATTAGGAGGTGGATCCGCCGGTGGGAGGAAGATGGCTCAGAGGAGACGAAACCTCGAAGCGGGAGGCCACAAGTAACGTCGGCAAGGATAGACGCCATGATCGTGGCAGCTGCAACGGCATATCCTAACCTAACCTAACCTAACCATCATACAGATCCTGCTGCACCATCACACAGGCCCTGCTGCACCATCACGCAGGCCCTGCTGCACCATCACCCAGGTTCTGCTGCACCATCACACAGGCCCTGTTGCACCATTACACAGGCCCTGTTGCATCATTACAAAGGTCCTGTTGCACCATCACCCAATCCCTTCTGCAGCATCACACAGGTCTTGTTGCAACATCACACAAGATCTGCTGTACCATCATGCAGGTCCTGCTGCACCATCACACAGGTCCTGCTGCACCATCACACAGGTCCTGCTGCATCATTACAAAGGTCCTGCTGCACCGTCACACAAGATCTGCTGTACCATCACAGAGGACCTGCTGCACCATCACACAGGTCCTGCAGCACCATCACACAGGTCCTGCTGCACCATCACCGAAGCCCTGCTGCAGCATCACACAGGTTCTTTTGAACCATCATTCAGGTCCTACTGCACCATCATCCAGGATCTGCTGCACCATCACACAGGTCCTACTGCACAATAACACAGGTCCTGCTGCACCATCACACAGGTCCTGCTGCACCATCACCCACGTTCTGCTGCACCATCACACAGATCCTGCTGCACCATCACACAGGCCCTGCTGCACCATCACACAGGCCCTGCTGCACCATCACACAGGCCCTGCTGCACCATCACACCTACCATCATTTCTGCTACACTATCACACAGGTCCTGCTGCACCATCACACAGGGCTTGCTGCACCCCCACCCAGGCACTACTGCACCATCGCCCAGGCCCTGCTGCACCATCACACAGGCCCTGTTGCACCATCACCCAAGCCTTTCTGCAGCATCACACAGGTCGCGTTGCACC